ACCACTCTGCCACCCGGTGACAGCATTATGACCTCAAACACTTTGTTACGTTTAAGAGAACCCTTTCCTCCTTTTTTCCGCTTTTTACAAACACTGACAGGTTATGGGCCCAGTGTTTCTGAGCATGTGCAGAGTGCAAAACGACTGACAGCATCTGAGCAGGGAGCTGGTGAGTCCTGGTGGTGTATGAAGCCAGTGGCTGTGGGTTGAAGCAGTTGGTGGCAAGCTGTAACTGTCTGCAGCGACGCTGGAGCAGCTAGGACCTGAGAATCAGGAAAGCACTCAGTGTCAGCTACTGGAACAGTTTGAACTGCTAGAGGACCACAGTAGGCGACTCACAGTCGCGGACCGTGGGCCGGGGGGGAGGGGTGGCATTATTAATCCGGGAAGATTGTTCTTTCAGGGCTCTACCACCGCCATCGATCCCCGGCATTGAATGTGTTGGCCTAGTGTGGGGCTCCGAGGAGAGCTTGGCTGTCTGGCTGATGTACCGGCCACCTAGCGCACCAGCAGCCACCCTGTCAGGCCTATTGGAGGCGGCTGACTGGGCCTTGGAGTTCCCTAACCTATTGGTATTGGGGGACTTTAACATCCATGCTGATGCCACTCCCTCCTCACAGGCTCTGGACCTGGTGTCTTCCATGGCGACACTAGGGCTCTCCCCCGTTTGTTTTGGGCCCCACACATCAAGCAGGCCACACGCTGGATTTGATCTTTGGCGTCGGTATAGATGTGACCATGTCTCCTTCGATGAAGGTGCCATGGTCTGATCACTACGCACTGAAAGCCAGGATTGATTTTCCACCCCCACCCTGCTTAGGTGGCGAGCCAATTTGGGCTCGCCCGCGGAGGCTGATGGACCCTGATAGATTCCGTCAGGCCTTGCGGGACCTTGCTCCCCCTGGCGACTCATTGACTGAGCTTGTTGAGGGCTGGAATATCCAGCTCCTGGCAGCCATCGATGAGATCGCACCTAAGCGCCTTCTGCAACCCCGCAGAAACCGGGCTCCCTGATTTACCGAGGAGCTCTGGAAAATGTAGCGGGACCTCAGACGGCTAGAGCGAGTATGGCGGGGTGCCCGTGACGGAGCCTCAAGAACATCTTAAAGGGCTTTTATGAAAACCTATGAGATGGCGGTGAAGGCTGCTAAGAAGTCTTACTTCTCGGCCTCCATTGCATCCGCTAGCTCTCGCCCGGCGCAATTATTTAGTATAATCAGGTCTTTAACGTCCCTTGAGGGACAGCCAAATTTAAATAACAATTTGGCACACAGCTGTGAGGCATTTGCGAGCTTTTTTGCGGAGAAGGTCTTGTTGCTCCGCCATGACCTCCCTGCCAATTTGGATACAATAAAGGAACTGGAGGCCCCTCAACTGTCCTCGGGTCCAGTATTGGACCACTTCGACCGGATATCCCCAGCCGATGTGGACAGACTCCTCCAAGCTGGAAAGCCCACCACCTGTCCTCTCGACCTGTGCCCGTCTTGGCTGATTAGAGCGTGTCCAGACAAAGTGCGGGCCCTCCTGAGGGATATCATCAATTTATAGAATCATAGAGTTGGAAGAGACCACAAGGGCCATCGAGTCCAACCCCCTGCCAAGCAGGAAACACCATCAGAGCACTCCTGACATATGGTTGTCAAGCCTCTGCTTAAAGACCTCCAAAGTAGGAGACTCCACCACACTCCTTGGCAGCAAATTCCACTGTCGAACAGCTCTTACTGTCAGGAAGTTCTTCCTAATGTTTAGGTGGAATCTTCTTGTAGTTTGGATCCATTGCTCCGTGTCCGCTTCTCTGGAGCAGCAGAAAACAACCTTTCTCCCTCCTCTATATGACATCCTTTTATATATTTGAACATGGCTATCATATCACCCCTTAACCTCCTCTTCTCCAGGCTAAACATGCCCAGCTCCCTTAGCCGTTCCTCATAAGACATCGTTTCTAGGCCTTTGACCATTTTGGTTGCTCTCCTCTGGACACGTTCCAGTTTGTCGGTGTCCTTCTTGAACTGTGGTGCCCAGAACTGGACACAGTATTCCAGGTGAGGTCTGACCAGAGCAGAATACAGTGGCACTATTACTTCCCTTGATCTAGATGCTATACTCCTATTGATGCAGCCCGGAATTGCATTGGCTTTTTTAGCTGCCGCGTCACACTGTTGGCTCATGTCAAGTTTGTGGTCAACCAAGACTCCTAGATCCTATTTGTCCCATGGCATGGGGACATTCCCAGGGGAACTGAAGGAGGCAGTGGTGCGCCCGCTCTTAAAGAAAACATCATTAGAGCTTTAGATCTATCCAATTACTGCCTGTTTCGAATCTTCCGTTCCTGGGTAAGGTGATTGAGAGAGCGGTTGCTGAACAGCTTGGTAGGTTTCTGGATGAAACATCGGCTCTGGATCCATTCCAGTCCGGCTTCCGTGCTGGTCATGGGACCGAGACGGCTCTGGTTGCCCTAACAGATGATCTTCGTAGACAGCTGGATCGAGACGGGTCGGGGCTGCTGATTCTTCTAGACCTGTCAGCAGCCTTTGACATGGTCGATCAAGAACTCCTGGACCACTGCCTTGCCGACGTGGGGATCCAGGGCACAGTCCTTCAATGGCTGCGCTCGTTTCTCTCTGGTCGGGGACAGAGGGTGGCGCTTGGGGGGGAATTGTCATCGCGCCACTCCTTGGTGTGTGGAGTGCCTCAGGGTGCGATTCTCTCCCCGATGCTTTTCAACATCTTTATGCGCCCCCTCGCCCAGCTTGTCCGGAATTTTGGGCTGGGTTGTCATCAGTATGCCGATGACACCCAACTCTATCTGTTGATGGGCGGCCATCCTGACTTGGCCCCAGACACACTGACCACATGTTTGGAAGCTGTGGCTGGATGGTTACGTGGGAGCCGGTTGAAACTAAATCCTTCGAAGACAGAGGTCCTCTGGCTGGGACGGGGTGATATGGGATTGGGGGGGGCAACTCCCATCTCTTGCGGGGGTGCAATTAGTGCCAGCACCGTCCGTTAAGAGTTTGGGTGTAATCTTCGACACCTCCCTTTCCATGGAGGCGCAGATTGCAGCTATAACAAAGGCGGCATTTTTCCATCTCCGGCAAGCTAAGCAGTTGGCTCCTTATTTCTCTCGCCCTGACCTAGCCACTGTGATCCACGTGACGGTCACCTCCAGACTGGATTATTGTAACTCGCTCTACGTGGGGCTGCCCTTGAGACTGACCCAGAAACTCCAGCGGGTGTAGGATGCCGCGGCGAGACTCCTTACGGGGTCTTCGCTGCGAGATCACATTCATCCGGTGCTATACCAGCTGCACTGGCTCCCGGTGGAGTACAGGATCAGGTTTAAGGTGCTGGTTTTAACCTTCAAAGCCCTATACGGCCTAGGACCCTCGTACCTACGGGACCGCCTCTCCTGGTATGTCCCACAGAGGACCTTACGGTCTTCAAATAAAAACATCTTGAAGGTCCCAGGCCACAGAGAAGTTAGGCTGGCCTCAACTAGAGCCAGGGCTTTTTCGGCTGTGGCTCCGATCTGGTGGAGCACTCTGTCACAAGAGACGAGGGCCCTGCGGGACTTGACATCTTTCCGCAGGGACTGCAAGACAGAGCTCTTCCACCAGGCCTTTGGCCAGGGCACAGCCTGACTCCCTCCCTCTGCAATCTCCGCGGAGCTCTGGCCCAATGGTTGCCAGTGGCTTGATTTGAATTAATTTTATAATGAATGATTTTAGAGTGTTGTTTGGGCTGTACTTTTGTACTGTTTTATTGTTGTTAGCCGCCTTGAGCCCGGCTTTGGCTGGGGAGGGCGGGATATAAATAAAATTTATTATTATTACTATTATTACTATTATTACTATTATTATTATTATTATTAAATTGCTGGAAGTATAATTAGAGATATAATGACAGATAATCTCCCAAACTGCTCTTCTAATGTCTCACCGTCTTTTGGGAAGCAAGGGATGAGATCTGCTCCCCTAAAGTGCTTTCTTTGGTCATTCCTGTTCTAATCCTTCTCTCTATTCTCTGTTTTGAATCCTTGTTGCTCTTTCCGGGAAAGGATCTGTTTGCAGAAATGGACCCAGATTCCTCTGAGACACAGAGGTCTCCGTTGGACACCAGAGGGAGACCACTGGGTAAAGAGGAAGGAGTTTTTCTTCTCATTCTGTGGATCTTGAAACTATCTGTGGGTTCTGTTCAGCTTTGGGGGGGGGGAAGCACTTGGGGACGAGAGCGCCAAGGAGGGGAGATGTATTTTGACCCAAAGTAAGTTTGAAATGAGTACAAATGTCTAAATGCACTTTGCAAGGAAGACTTTTTCTAAGGCCCATCTGTCGCCTGAAATGTGCTGCTGAAGCTCTGAGAGACGCAGGAGCTGATGGCTTCCCTTTGACTTTTGTCTCTCGCAGGTGACCGAAGGATGCCCCCCAGACCTCCTCATCCATCTTTTCATGAGAACGGAGGAGAAGCAGCAGCAGCTGTGGAAACAGATCTGGTAGGGGGAAAGAGCTTTGTGGGGAAAGAGTCAGAGGAGTGGGGCAGCCAGGGAGCCTCTGGGCCGGAAAGAATTTCTCCTCCTCTTGGCTTCTGTCAAAGCCTATATCCTGAACAAAGATGGACAATGCCATTCAGGAAGGTTTATGTGCTGACAGGAATGAACAGCCATCTCTCCTTAACTGGGCTTTGGAATGTCACTTTTATTATTATGATTTATCAGTAGCTGCAGTTATATTTCTATATTGAACTAATCAGGCTTCTAAGCAGTTGAGAAGCCATAGCAAACCGTGGCTGGGATTCACCTCAGCAGCCCCATCAGCTGTAGAAGGGGAATCCCCCTCCTCCCCCTCTCTGTGCCCCCATGAGCCCCTTGTGTTGCAAGGGATAAGGATCAGCCAGACGCAGCAATGGAGAATAAGAAGGTGAAGTTTATTGCCAGGCAATAAGGACCCAGTTGGAATCTCTTCCAAAGAACTGGGACCCCGATTGACAGAAATACAGGGTCTTTATACCTGAGCAAATCACAGCAAATCATAGATCATAAGACAATCACGAAGGACTCATACTTGGTCAGCAAAAACATCAGCCAATCAGCAAGCAGTTGTCACGCTCCTAGCTACTGGTATAGCACTGGTCAAGCCCAGGGTTCCAGTTCCGCTTTCCAATGCTTCCAGTGACGCTCAGTCTAACCTTTCCCCTAATTATGACAGGACAGGGAGTTTGGACATTTTGTGGTTTTGCTCTTCCTGTTCTGTGGATTAATTTAGCCTGTTTCTGATGGGGAATTTGTACCAGAATCTCTGATTCATGTCTTGTCCGGGGTTCACAGATGTTTCTAGGGGAAAGGTCGGTTCCTACTTGCTGTTCCAAGCAGTTTGCATTTTTAGCTAAGGCACAGCTTCCCTTTTGATTCAAGTGGATTTATAAAGTACTGTAATCCTTGATTCGTGTAAGCATACATGAATATATATTGAATATATTGATTATTGATAACTGGTTATATGGATAATATAGGGGTAGCCCTTCCTTCCTTGCCTCATTCCCCCCTTTTCAAGCTCAGAGAGAAGATTCATCTGACTCCTGAGCTTGAACACCACTCAGGACATCAGAGTAAACCGTTGCTTCCTGCAATGGGGCTTGTTCCTGCACTGGGACTTGTTCCTGCACCGGGACCTGTTCCCCAGGCATTGGGACGTGTTCCCTATGCATTCGCTCGTAACCATCGTCTTCCTCTGGCTCATCTGGCACTGGGGGCAAAGCTCTGTATATTGCCATAATGTGAGGGTCAGTGAGATGCTTAACATTGCGGGCTATCATTCCCCTAAGCAAAGACAAACAACAAGGAATTACAGAAAGAAACAACAGAAACACCATTCCTCCTATGGCTAAGACGGTCAGAATGCCATGCACCCACCCCTCTCCTGGTATCCACGACCATACCTTTTCCCAGGGATTCTGGGTGGGTGTGTTGTCAGCTACCAGAGACTGCAGTTTTTGCAATTGGTCCTCAATTGTTTTGTTGAGGTCGTGGAATTTAACCTGGCACCGACCTTTTGGGACAATTTTACAAAAACCACCTGCTCGTGCAAGGAGGTAGTCCAAAACCAATCTATGGGTCATCGTCAGCTGGTTCAAATCCTCAACCTCTGACTGCAAGGAGCGCAAGACATGGGTGGTGGCATTGATAGTTTTCTCCAGCCTGCATGTAAGAGCAAACAGTGCCTTTCTATTTTGCTCAGCAACTATTCCTGGGTAAATCCCCATTGAGAGGAAACCTATAAAACCACCCCCAACGCTCCCTACAGAATTTGTCAGATAAATTTCATCCACACAGTGGTCGCCTAGGGCCGCCCTTTTCCGTCTGCTTGCAAGATGAGGTACCTTGTGATTGATCTCCACTGCAACCGGAAAGGTAAATGCCCCTACGCCAACACACTGGTATTTTCCTGGGTGGAAATTTGTTGCCAATCCATCATATAAAAACCAGAGGTTAGGATCTTTAATCATCCAACCAGAACAAATGGACCCTTGTCCGGTGAAATTAACCGAATATTGAGGAAAATATGGGTACAGATCTGAAGAGGTAGTATTGCCCTGGTAGGAGGCATTGTGGGATCCCCAAAGCCAAAACTTATCTGAGCATTGGGTATAATTTCCCAGCCATCCTTTGTCCATGTGGTACTTAACTTGGGGCCAATACTTCCATTTAGAATTCCATACTCCAGTGGCATGACAGCAAAAACATAGACCTTTTGTGGTTCTGGTGTATCTGAGATATCTATAGGGGATGTCATTCATTTCAATAGGTGGGGCTGCAAAGAGACCACTCTGATTGTAAAGTAGGCCTGCCAACACGACATCAGGATCCTTGATTAATCCTGGTATAAGGGACATGTCTGCTACCTTCCTTGGGTGTTCGTAATATAGGGTAGCATTTTCCCCATATATCCGGAACATGTGTTCTGCATGGTGTATAAAAACATTACCTACTACCATTGGGCCTCTCTGGAGCCACAAGCACATCAAACTCAACAGGAGCTTCATTTTCATTTTCATCTTCCCCACGTATACCTTCAAGGTTGAATCTTATTAGTTCTGGCTCTAGGTCAATGTTTATACGGTGATCCTTCTTATATACACAAAATACAATGATTAGGACCAGAAGGAGTGAAATTGCAACAATTATATAAGGTAGCAGGTACCAGAACATACCCTTCAGTGAGATATAGCCTCCCGCTCGGCCGCACCCAGTGGACTTATTAGTGGTCCCCAGGTTCTGGTCGAACTGGTGAGGTCAACTCACACCGTATACACTCTGCAACTGCTACCTTGAAGGGACCTGTGGGTGGTGGAGGGAAAACAGCTACAGTGACCAGTATAGCACCGGGAAATGCTCCTTGGGGAGGTGGGCAGGAGAAGCAACGTATGGCTCTCCTAGGTTCCCCTGGCATGTACTTTCCCTTGTATGTGAACTATTGTCGTGGACCTGCTTGTGCCCAATCTGGTATGTAGAATTCCCAAAGAAAGAAAGGAATGTAACAACCGTATGTAGTTACCCAATCCACCCACTTGTCAATAAGGACCCCCCTTTTGTTCACCCTTGTTATTGTTATTTGTACTAAGGGTTTATGAGCAAAGTCTGGCTGGAATCTGGGATTGACTGAAATTTTTACTGGTAGGGGTCCTCCCATACGCTGGTGCAGCTCCTCAATCTTCCGGTGTGCGTAGACTCACTGGCTTCCGGGGTGCAGTGAGAGCAGACCTGTAGTCCCGTTGCCCGTGCTCCTGCCCGCCTCCGGTGGGGCTAGGTGCAGGGGTTCCTGGTGAGCTTCAACTTCAGAGGGTTAGATGGGTTCAGCTCACAGTTCCAATGACCCTCCGACCGCTTCAGACGAGAATGATGAATCCACGGGGTAACTTCCGCAACTTTCACCGCAGTTGGTGTGGCCAGCAGAACCGTGTAGGGACCTTTCCACCGAGCTGTCAGCGGTTCGTCTTTCCAATCTCGAACCCAAACTCGGTCTCCTGGCCGAAAAGGATGTACTGGTTCGGATAGGCAGATGGGAATGTGTTGGAGACACCACCTGTTTAAATCAAGAAAAATACGAGAAAGAGCCTGGATTTGATCTGCAGTTATTTGCCCCCCCACTTGAGTCAAGTCTGCTGTTTTCCCCCTTGCTATTGGAGGTGGTCTCCCATACAAAAGTTCAAACGGAGAAAGTTTCAGTCTCTTTGTTGGTGAACATCTGATTCTAAACAAAGCAATAGGCAACATGTCTACCCATTTACAATGAGTTTCCTGGCACAATTTTGCTAACTGCGCTTTAAGAGTCCGATTCATCCTTTCTGTTTTCCCTGAGCTTTGAGGTCTATAGGCCGCATGTAGTTTCCATTGTATTTGCAAGGCTTTGCATACACCATCCACTATTGATGCAATGAAAGCTGGACCATTGTCACTGCCTATACACCTTGGTAGACCAAACCTTGGAATGATTTCCGTTAAGAGGCGTTTTATAACCTCCTGCGCTTTTTCTGTTCTAGTAGGATAGACTTCAGGCCAACCTGTAAGAGAACATGTGAAGACCAAGAGAGCCTTATACCCCTTTGCCTTTGGCATTTCTGTAAAATCCACTATTAAATTCTCCATTGGCATTAAGCCTGTTTGCTGTATTCCTGGTGGAGGAACTGGGCCTTGCTTGGGATTGTTTTTTGCGCACAGAAGGCATGCACGTGATACTGCTTCTGCCAGCTGGGAAATCCTTGTTATGTAGAATTGCCTATTTAGGCTTTCTCGCAATGCTGTGGCCCCATAGTGAGTGGACTCATGATATTGTTTCACTATGTTCCTGCCTAAGGCTTCTGGAACAAATATTCGTTGGTCTGGGAGGATAAACCAACCATCCTGTGGTGGCATTCTGTATCCCCCTTCCTGCTGTGCCCATTCCTGTTCTGCCTCCGTGTAGATGGGCTTTATTTGCTCTAAATCAACTGCTGTAGGAAGAAGAGATGCTGTTATAGAGGCAGGTGGCGGTGGCAGTAAAGCTGCCCGTTTTGCAGCCAGATCCGCCAATTGATTTCCCTTTGCTGCTTTTGTGGTTCCCTTGCTGTGGCCTCGGCAATGTATGACTGCAACCTTTCTCGGAGCCCACACAGCTTCCAAAAGCGTTTCCAATTCTGGGCCATATTTCAGTGCTTTCCCTTCTGCCCCTATGAGCCCCCTCTCTTTCCACAAAGCTCCGTGGGCATGTAGAGTTAAAAAAGCAAACTTTGAGTCTGTGTAGATATTTACACTGCAGCCAGCTGCTAGCTGAAGGGCTCTGGTTAAAGCCACAAGTTCCGCTTTCTGCGCTGAGGACGAAACTGGCAGAGGCTGTGCTTCAATGACATCAGTCAGTGTAACCACAGAATATCCAGCCCTCCTTTGCCCCTCCCTCACAAAGCTGCTCCCGTCCGTAAAATATTCTATATCTGGGTTTTTCAACGGTTCATCCTGCAAATCTGGACGGCTGGAGTAAATTGAGTCCATTACTTGAATGCAATCATGAGGTTCATGATCCACTGACTCAGGAAGGGGCAACAAGGAAGCGGGGTTCAAGGTGTTTACAACTTGCAAATGTACTTGTGGGTTACCACACAAAAGCCCTTGGTAATTTGCCATGCGCTCGTTGGAAAGCCAATAACTTCCTTTGTATTCCATTAATGTCAACACAGCATGAGGCACATTCACATAAATCTCCTGTCCAAAGGTGAATTTAAATGCCTTTTTGACCAATATGGCTGTTGCAGCTACTGATCGCATACAAGGTGGCCATCCTTTTGCCACTGCATCCAGCTGTTCTGACAAATAAGCTACAGGTCTTTTCCAACTCCCCAACACCTGAGTCAAGACCCCTGCTGCAATTCCAGATTTCTCATGAACGAAAAGGAAAAAAGCTCTTTCTGGGTTTGGCAAAGCCAAGGCTGGAGCCTGCATCAGTTTAGACTTTAATGTATTGAAAGCTTTCCTTTGCTCTGCATGCCATTCAAAATGAGCATTTTCTCTGCCTTTTGTGCTTTCATATAGAGGCTTTGCTAGGGTGCTAAAATCTGGGATCCAAATTCGACAAAAGCTTGCAGCCCCCAAAAACCCCCGCAATTGCCTGCGGCTTGTGGGTTCCTTAATGACACAAATGGCTTCCTTCCTTTCGGATCCTAACGCCCTTTGCTGGTGAGAAATGTGAAAACCCAAATATTTCACTGTCTCTTGGCAAATTTGTGCCTTTTTCCGAGACACCTTGTATCCTGCCTCCCAAAGGAGATAAAGCAAATCCTCTGTGGCCTTTTTACAAGTCTCATAGGTATCACAACTAATCAATAAGTCATCCAGAAATTGAAGCAAAATTGTTTTCCCAGGCACTGAAGGGAATTTAGACAAATCCTGGGCAAGGGCTGTTCCAAAAAGTGTTGGCGAATTCTTGTAGCCCTGGGGCAATCTTGTCCACGTTAATTGGGTTTTTGTCCCCGTGTAAGGATCCTCCCATTGAAATGCAAATATTGGCTGACTCTGGGAGGCAATCCGGCAACAGAAAAATGCATCTTTTAAGTCCAATACTGTAAACACCCTTGCCTCCGATGGAATTAATCCTAGGAGATTGTAAGGATTGGGCAAACATGGATGCACCGTCTGAATTAAATTGTTAATCCTTTTCAGATCCTGGACTGGGCGAAATTGATCTGAATTGGGCTTGCGCACAGGAAAAAGTGGAGAATTCCAGCTGGACTGGCACTTTACCAAAAGCCCATATTGCAAAAACTTGTCTATATGCTTCTGCATTCCCTCTGCTGCTTGTCTTGGAATAGGGTATTGCCTGGTTGCTATTGGCTTTGCCCCTGGCTTTAGGTTTATTATGAATGGGGCTATATTCTTTGCCATGCCTGGTGGGTTGTCCTCTGCCCATACTCCAGGTGGGGCTCTCAGATTTTTAGGAATCTGTGAAATGTCCTTTTGGGAGTCTGTTTTTGACAAAGCCCCCATCATTTTCCATGCCTGTTCCCTAGGCACCTCTACTGTGACAATCCCTGATGCAGCCTGGGGTAATTTCATTTCTGCCCCTTTTGGTGTGAAGGTGATCTGTGCTTGAACCTTTGACAGAAAGTCACGTCCCAGCAAGGGGATTGGGCATTCAGGCACATACAGAAATTGATGTGTAAGGGTTTTCCCCCCAATCTGGCATTCTTGAGGTTGCAAAAACGGTGTGAGGACCCTGTTGCCTGTGGCCCCCACAATTGTCACTGCTTGGTTGCTTTTTGCTTTTAACGGCTTCGTGAGCACCGAAAATTGCGCTCCAGTGTCTATCATGAAATTTACTAAGCGGCTCCCCAGTTTAACCGAGACCATGGGCTCTTGGGAGCCTAAAGAAAGAGTTGAGCCCGGTCTGTCCTATGCATTCTCATTCTCATATTCCTCCAGTTGCGCTAATCCAACAAAATCTCTGCTACTTCCTCTGCTCCTCACATATCTTCCAGCTTGCATCCTTCCTCTCTGCGATCCCCATCCACGTCCACGCTCCCTCTGTTCCCTGTATTCACCTTCTCCCTCTGTGTCCCTTGCTTCAGGGCACTCCTGTTTCCAATGACCTTCCTTTCTGCAAATTGCACACTGATTCCTTCCCAATGGCAATCCCCTTCCTCTTCCTCTTCCTCTTCCTCGTGCCCTACTGGAACCTCTCCCTTGGGCACCCGTATCAAATGCTGAGCCCTGGCTGATGGCTGCAGCCAAAAACACTGCCTTTTGTTTCATTTCCCGAACTCTGTCCTTCTTAACCTCATTCTCTCTGTTCAAATAAACCTTTTGAGCGATTGCTAGGAGCTGATCCATCTGCAATGTTTCAAAAGCGTCTAACTTTTGCAATTTCCTCTTAATGTCCGTAGCACTTTGAGCCACAAATGCCGCATTCACCATTTGCTTGCTTTCTGGGGCTTCTGGATCAAAGGGGGTGTAAATTCTATATGCCTCCATTAAGCGTTCCAAATAATTTGAAGGAGATTCATCTGGGAGTTGAAGAACCTCAGCTACCCTAGAAATGTTTGTGGGCTTTCTAGCAGCACCTTTTATAGCCTTTATAACTTCCTGCCGATAACTGTCCAAGGCGTCCTTATCCCTTTCTGGGTCCCACCCTGGATCTGTGAGTGGATATCTGGCACGGACCCAAGCATCTGGATTGTTTTCTGAGTTTGGCACCTGAGCTTTAAGATTGTTGTCTGCAGTTGTATCTATCCTTCTCCTTTCCTCAGAGGTGAAAAGAGTCATCAAAAGATGCCTGCAATCTTGCCATGTAGGCAGATGAGTTACCATAATGGAGGCAACCAAATCCAGCATGGCCTGAGGTTTTTCTGAAAAGGGTATTGTATGCGTTTTCCAATTCAATAAATCTGTGGTTGTAAAGGGCACATATTGAAGTGTAACTGCCCTGGAAGGCCAAGGACCCGTTGGTCTCCCATTTCCATCCACTGGCCGTGGCTCTTGGGGCCCCAAAACAGCCCTTAGGGGAAGCATTGGCGCTGGTGCCCCTTTGTTATTACGTAAGTAATAGCCTCCTTTTGAAAGCTTAGGCGAGGCTGGGCTTTGAGATGTACTAGGCAAATCACTTTCTCTCATTTTAAGGACCAACTTTTGTCCAGAATCTGTAATTGCATCCATCAATTTCCATAGTTTTGAACTGTCATGGCTTTCTGGGGTTCTGAATGAATTAATTTGTTCCCCCCATGCTCCAGACATTTGAAATGCGCTGGTTCCCCCTTCCGCTCCTCCGTCTGTGTTTGCAAGGCTGACATGTCCTGGTTGTATTTTTCCTCGGGAGGGGAGGGTAACGTGCTTTGATCTAGAGCTGCTGTTTGTTTTGGCTGGGAAGGCAATTCTGGAAGGCTAGGCACATCCAGTGATGCTTGAGAAGGGTGGGGCTGCCTGCGAAGCACCATTTGTGGCTTGCGGGGCTTTATTCAGTTCTGGCTGAGATCGGCTGGGCATAGGGGTCCGTTGGGTTTGGGGTTGGGTTTGTCCTGCCACTGCATTTTGATCTGGCAATGCTTGCCTTGAAGGCGGCTGTATTGCTTGATTACTGCTGCTATAATTGTATGGCGGGGGAGGGATTCCATCCTCCTCTGAAGGACCAACATAAATTTTCCTGTCAGCTGCAGAAACTGTTAAGGGTTTTCTGGCTTCCTGCCTTACAGCGAAAATCTCACAGCTGTCACTTCCTCTTTTCATCCAATCTGGATTTTTTAAACAAATAGCAGTCCACTTAGAAATGTAATAGTACTGCTCCTTAAACAAAACCGGATTTTTCATTATTGAGTCCATAACTGCCTGACATTTCTCAATCCTGAAGGAGCCAAGTTGTGGCCAGGATTTGACCTGTTGGGGCCACACCTGTTGACAATATTTCTTTAAAACTTCCTTACTTGGTTTGACCTCCCCTGGTTCTTCTGGAAAAACCATTTTAAAATTTTCTAACATGCAGTCTAGGGGTGTACAGGCTTGAATTGGTTTTGAGCATTTCCCCCCCATAGTTCTGCAAAAACTTTCCCTCTTCGCCAGACAAACACTTTCAGCTAGGCAGTTTCAAAAATAGAGAAAAACCACAGCACACTTCCTTTTTCAACTCAGATCTTACACATTCACTCGGCGTCCCGGGACTTTCACACAGACAACACAGCCCTTTCTCCCCCCTTTGCCTGCGGCAACAACTTGGCAGAAAAACACACACTTTCATACAGCGTTTTACCCTTTTTTTCCTTCTTGGTTGACTCAGCTTCTCCTCCCTCACCCTTTTGGTGATCCTTTCCCTTTAACGGGAGGTTACTGGTGGGTCACCCTGAGTGTTGATCAGCACTCCTTTTATCTCAACTCACCGTGAGTTCCTGTCGTGGCGCGCCTTTCCTTTTGGCTCCCCTTCAGATTCTCCTTGTTCGGTCCTTGCCTCCGTCTCGCCGGGAGTCCGCGCCGAAGGCGATTGCCTTCCTCCTTCGGAAATGATGTCTGATTGGCGCCTGGAACGAAGCCAAAACCTTCGGGACGCCCTCCCCCCGAGAACCGGAGGCCGGCTCTTTTTTTGGGTAAAAAAACCCACTGGCCTGTGTGATCCGAGTCACGGCACCAAATGTTGCAAGGGATAAGGATCAGCCAGACGCAGCAATGGAGAATAAGAAGGTGAAGTTTATTGCCAGGCAATAAGGACCCAGTTGGAATCTCTTCCAAAGAACTGGGACCCCGATTGACAGAAATACAGGGGTCTTTATACCTGAGCAAATCACAGCAAATCATAGATCATAAGACAATCACGAAGGACTCATACTTGGTCAGCAAAAACATCAGCCAATCAGCAAGCAGTTGTCACGCTCCTAGCTACTGGTATAGCACTGGTCAAGCCCAGGGTTCCAGTTCCGCTTTCCAATGCTCCCAGTGACGCTCAGTCTAACCTTTCCCCTAATTATGACAGGACAGGGAGTTTGGACATTTTGTGGTTTTGCTCTTCCTGTTCTGTGGATTAATTTAGCCTGTTTCTGATGGGGAATTTGTACCAGAATCTCTGATTCATGTCTTGTCCGGGGTTCACAGATGTTTCTAGGGGAAAGGTCGGTTCCTACTTGCTGTTCCAAGCAGTTTGCATTTTTTAGCTAAGGCACAGCTTCCCTTTTGATTCAAGTGGATTTATAAAGTACTGTAATCCTTGATTCGTGTAAGCATACATATTGAATATATTGATTATTGATAACTGGTTATATGAATAGTATAGGGGTAGCCCTTCCTTCCTTGCCTCATATCCATAAAGCTAATAAGTGAAATCAAACAAAAGACACCTGGGGATTTATTTATTTCGTTATACATTGGAAAATGAATAAATTTCAATGATAGGAAACAGGATAGTTGTGAGAAGATGGGGTAGCAAAGGATGCTGGGAAGAAGGACGTGAGGGAAATTAAATGACACCTAATAAAGCACAATTTTTCAAGAAAGCTAATATGTGGCATCTAACAAATGACACCTTGGGATTAATTTATTTATTTACACATTGGAAAACGAGTAAATTTCAATTATAGGACACAGGATCCTTGTTTGTGAGAAGAAGGGGTAGCAAAGCAGGCTGGGAAGAAGGACGTGAGGGAAATGAAATGAAACCCAATAGCTGTTAATTTATCAATAAAGCTAAGATGTGATACTTAACAAAAGACATCTTGGGATTTATTTATTTAGTTATACATTGGAAAATGGGTAAATTTCAATTATAGACACAGGATCCTTGTTTGTGAGAAGATGGGGCAGCAAAGCATGCTGGGAAGAAGGATGTGAGGGAAATGAAACCTAATAAAGGATAATTTATCCATAAAGCTAATAAGTGAAACCGAACAAAAGACACCTTGAGAGTGATTTATTTGGTTATACACTGGAAAAAGGAGTAAATTTCAAATTTATTGATGCTGGGAATCGACCATTGGCCTGACAGAGCTGGCAATGCATGCTGGGAAGTCTGCCCCCCCTCCCAGTGTGGACCAGGCTGGCAGAGGCTGGCGGGAGTCGCAGGGCCTTTTGGAGGTGGCCCCTTCCCCTCCGAGGGGATCTCAAAGCCTGGCTCCATGGCCCTCCTGCCTCTGCCTCCGCCAGGGACACCAGCGCCTGCAGCCCATCCAGCTGCACTCTGCACGCCCTCAGAGGCCAGAGAGGCTGGCAGGGGCAGGGCCCCCAGGAGAGAGAGGGGCCCCTGGGGGGATCTGCACTCTGCACGCCCTCAGAGGCCGGAGAGGCTGGCAGGGGGAGGGCCCCCAGGTGAGCCCAGGAGAGAGAGGGGCCCCAGGGGAGATTTGCACTCTGCACGCCCTCAGAGGCCGGAGAGGCTGGCAGGGGCAGGGCCCCCAGGTGAGCCCAGGAGAGAGAGGGGCCCCAGGGGGGATCTGCACTCTGCACGCCCTCAGAGGCCGGAGAGGCTGGCAGGGGGAGGGCCCCCAGGTGAGCCCAGGAGAGAGAGGGGCCCCAGGGGAGATTTGCACTCTGCACGCCCTCAGAGGCCGGAGAGGCTGGCAGGGGGAGGGCCCCCAGGTGGGCCCGGGAGAGAGAGGGGCCCCTGGGGGGATTTGCACTCTGCACGCCCTCAGAGGCCGGAGAGGCTGGCAGGGACAGGGCCCCCAGGTGAGCCCGGGAGAGAGAGGGGCCCCTGGGGGGATTTGCACTCTGCACGCCCTCAGAGGCCGGAGAGGCTGGCAGGGACAGGGCCCCCAGGTGAGCCCGGGAGAGAGAGGGGCCCCTGGGGGGATTTGCACTCTGCACGCCCTCAGAGGCCGGAGAGGCTGGCAGGGGCAGGGGCCCCAGGTGAGCCCGGGAGAGAGAGGGGCCCCTGGGGGGATTTGCACTCTGCACGCCCTCAGAGGCCAGGGAGGCTGGCAGGGGCAGGATCCCCAGGTGAGCCCGGGAGAGAGAGGGGCCCCTGGGGGGATTTGCACTCTGCACGCCCTCAGAGGCCGGAGAGGCTGGCAGGGGGAGGGCCCCCAGGTGAGCCCGGGAGAGAGAGGGGCCCCTGGGGGGATTTGCACTCTGCACGCCCTCAGAGGCTTCGTAGTCTAAGTTCAGGGGGCTGCCTGAACCAGCATCTCTCTGGAGGGGCTTCTTCCCATTGGTCAACATCCTTCTTAAATTGTGGTGCCCGGAATCGGACACAGTATTCCAGGTGACGTCTGACCAAGGCAGAATGGAGCTCAGTCTTGTAAGCCACTGGGATTAGTCGCAATAAAAGTAATAATAATCACAACAAGATAGTAATATTAGACTTGGTTAACAAATGTTTTTAAGAACATTGTTCACACATATTTATACTGCTTAACTGTGTGTGCTTTTCAATCACTTATTCATTGTTGTGCATAGTAATTTTAAGTGCATTCTTAATATTACAATCAAGGTGCGATACTTTTAAAATGCACATTTTTTTAAATTATGAACACAGAAATAAATGACGCTCCCAATTCATCGGATGATGACCTGTGCCACAAAGAGGGAACCAGGCAGAGGGCCTTCTCGGTGGTGGCGCCCTCCCAGCAGATGTCAAGGAAGTAAACAACTACCTGACTTTTAGAAGACATCTGAAGGTAGCCCTGTTCAGGGAAGTTTGTAATGTTTGATGTATTTCTCGTGTTTTTCCTATTCTATTGGGAGCCGCCCTGAGTGGCTGGGGAAACCAAGCCAGATGGTGGGGTATAAAGAAATGGTTGTTGTTGTGACACTAGATTTCATGAACACTCATCTCAGAGTGCCCTGGAAATGGAGGGCCAGAGTCTTTTATATACTAACCTTTTATGCTCTTCCACATCCGTTTAATGCTCCGAAACCCTTCTTTTCGCTTCTTTTAGACTTTTATATATACTTTGTGTTTTAATACATTTTAGCTTTCCAAAACGTTTTACAGATTGGAAATGACTCTACCCCACCCTACTGAATGCTGGTCTACTACCGTAATAAAGATTTGATTGATTGATTGAAATGAAGTATCCTATAGTAATGCAGTGATTGGACACCAAAATAATATAATACAAAGTGATTCATAATGAAATATACAGTTTCCAGATCCTGTAAGACCGGCGCTGACACGGACCACAGCTGCGAACCGTGAGGCAGATGTACTGATACAGTTTGTGTCCCGCGACTGAGGGAAGTGATGGAGGTGAGAGTGCGCGTGTCATGTGACTAGTCAGGCGAAATGGCTGCGTCTGGAGTGGAGAAGGCGTTTTGTGTTCTTGAATTCAGCAAAACGGAGTTTGTTGTGCAATGGCATTTTCAATTGTGATGTGTGTCGTGTGACAAAGGGTGCACACATAGAACATCTGTGACTGTTTCTAAAATACTTTAAACATTCCCCTACAATTCTGTCACAGGTAACATGGGATATATATTCTCTTTTATAGTGTGTTGAAACTGTATACTTCATTATGAATCACCTTGTATAATAACATAAAACATAACATAACAACATAACATAACATAACATAACATAACATAACATAACATAACAACATAACATAACATAACATAACATAACATAACATAACATAACATAACATAACATAACATAACATTATATATCATACTTTTCCGTGTATGAGACGAGTAAAATGGGACCCCTCCCCTTTTTCTTAATTTTCAGTTCCCAAAAATAGGGGGTGTCTTATACACAGGGGCATGTTCTACATGGTAAAATACAGTAATATGTAATAATATAATATAATATAATATAATATAATATAATATAATATAATAATATAATAGGGACCCCTGACCCTTAGGTCCATTCGTAGCCGACTCTGGGGTTGCGGCGCTCATCTTGCTTTATTGGCTGAGAGAGCCGGCGTACAGCTTCTGGGTCATGTGGCCAGCATGCGCATTCTGGCAAACCAGAGCAGTACACGGAAATGCCGTTTACCTTCCCGCCGGAGTGGTACCTATTTATCTACTTGCACTTTGACTTGCTTTCGAACTGCTAGGTTGGTAGGAGCTGGGACCAAACAACAGGAGCTCACCCCGTCACAGGGATTCAAACTGCCGACCTTCTGATCGGCAAGCCCTAGGTTCTGTGGTTTGACCCACAGCACCACCTGTGTCCCAATATAATATAATATAATATAATATAATATAATATGATAATATAATATAATATAATATAATATAATATAATATAATATAATATAATATAATATAATATTATGCACTTCTAGACATATAATATAATATATATTATGCACTTCTAGACATCATGAACATGGACTATTTTAAGAATCAGGTGTTCCCTTAATTCCTTGTTGTCAGGTGCTCCTTTGTGTTCAGATCAGGCCTCAGCACAATAATGTAGCACTTGGGAAGGAAGATGCAGCCCAGAAGCCCAGCACTGGAGGCCAACATAGAGAAGATCTGCACGGCCACCATGTACTTGCCCTTGGTGCTCAGGTAGGTGGGCACAAAAGACACCCAAACACTGCAGAAGACCAGCATGCTGAAGGTGATCAGCTTGGCTTCGTTGAAGGAGCCAGGCAGCTTCCTGGCTAGGAAAGCCACCGTGAAGCAGGTGGCAGCCAAGAAGCCCAGGTAGCTGAGGGCAACGTAAAACATGGCCACAGACCCTTCATTGCATTGCAGGATGATCTCTTCCACCTGGGAGTGCATGTCGGGCTCTGGGAATGGGGGAGAAGAGCCCAGCCAGATGGTGCAGATGAGAACTTGCCCCCCAGAACAGGAGATGACAATGGAGTTGGCCAGACTCTTGCCCAGCCATCTCCTCACCCTGTTCCCGGGCTTTGTGGCCAGGAAGGCCAGCACCACCGTGATGGTCTTTGCCAAGACAGAAGAAACAGCAACTGAGAAGATGATGCTGAAGGCAGTTTGTCGGAGAAGGCAGGTCTCTTTCCTTGGGCGCCCGATGAAGAGGAAGGAGGACAGAAAGGAAAGCAGGAGGGAGACGAGCAGGATGTAGGAGAGGTCCCGGTTGTTGGCTTTGACTATGGGAGTTTCCTTGTATTTAATGAAGATTCCCAACACAATGCCTGCTATTAAGGACAAGAAGAGGGCAATGGAAGCTAACACCATTCCCAAATGTTCTCCATAAGTCAGGAAGGTGGTAATCTTGGGGACACATTGATCTCTGTCCTTGTTTGAATGGTGATCTTCTGGGCATTTGGTGCAATGTTCTGCATCTGGAGAAGAGAAAAAGAGTGGCTGCAGCATCACTTACATCCCTAATGATCTGACCTTGATTACGATTTGAAGAAATCCAAGAGATTTCTTCCTTATGATCATTCCTTTAAACTCTCTTCCAGGATGTAATGAAGGGGATTAATACTAAGGAAGTAAAGGAAGGAGCCACATTCCACAATGTCTGCAGAATTCTCACAAAAACTGTGTGAGACTGAATTTCTGCCCTGTGTTTACTTTTTCCAGAAATACCTTTCCCCTTGGAGTCACCCACCTTCCTGGGCGGAGAAGGTCCCTTCTGCACACCGAGCACAAGCATAGCAGCAAATGGGCTTTCCTTCTAGAACCACCTTGGCATATCCAGGTCGACAGCTTTCTGTACACCTGGAATGAGGTACGGCCTAACCAGAAAGACAAGAAGGTGCCACAAAGAGGAACAGTTAGGACTATTTGTGGGTATGCAATTCACTCATAGGGATGCGGGTGGCGCTGTGGGTTAAACCACAGAGCCTAGGGCTTGCCGATCAGAAGGTCGGTGGTTCGAATCCCCATGATGGGGTGCGCTCCCGTTGCTCGGTCCCTGCTCCTGCCAACCTAGCAGTTCGAAAGCAAGTCAAAGTGCAAGTAGATAAATAGGTACCGCTCCAGCGGGAAGGTAAACAGCGTTTCCATGCGCTGCTCTGGTTTGCCAGAAGCGGCTTCGTCATGCTGGCCACATGACCCGGAAGCTGTACGCCGGCTCCCTTGGCCAGTAAAGTGACATGAGCGCCACAGCCCCAGAGTCGGCCACGACTGGACCTAATGGTCAGGGGTCCCTTTACCTTTACCTAGGGTGCTATATTTTGAAAAATTGGCGGTTCAAATCCCCGCAATGGGGTGAGCTCCCATTGCTTGGTCACAGCTCCTGCCAACCTAGCAGTTTGAAAGCACGTCAAAGTGCAAGTAGATAAATAGGTACCGTTCCAGCGGGAAGGTAAACGGCGTTTCGGTGCACTGTTCTGGTTCGCCAGAAGCGGCTTAGTCCTGCTGCCCACATGAACCAGAAGCTGTACGCCGGCTCCCTCAGCCAATAAAGCGAGATGAGCGTTGCAACCCCAGAGTCGGCCCTGACTGGACCTAATGGTCAGGGGTCCCGTTACCTTTACTTTAATTCACACATAGAGTGAATTCAAAAGGATATCTGGACTGCAGCCTTTGACCCCTCATCAGGGTCCTTTCATCCCCACACTGACCATTGGGGCGACCAGAATATCTTGTTCTTCATAATTAGTTCAGGACAACTGAGGTTTGCACCACAGAACTCTGTTTCCTCTTCTCCATTTACCTGCTTCCCTGATTAAAAAATCTTTAAAGAAAATGGCAATGGAGTCTGAAATGTGATTTCCCCAAATTTCAGGATTCTGATAATCTCTCAGCCGCTCATTAAGACACATTTAATATGACTTTTCCAAATAGTGGTTTCCCTCACTCTGTTCTTGAGGCATGCAAGGTTTCCTCTTGTTGCTGATCTATTTCCCTAGTTATTTCTAGTTCATATGCCATTCCTTAACATTAACCTTATATTGCAATAGGGTTTTTTAAAAAACTTATCATCCTTCACCAACTGCTGTGCACTTCTTAATTCCTGCACATACAATAGTTTAACATTTGCAACATCTACAAGTGAGCATACTCCACAAATTTAAAAATTCCACAATAAATCAGTAATTATCATTTCAAAAATAAATTGCTTTCCATCCTTCTGCATGTGTGAAAACCCAATAGTTCACTTTTACTAGGTGTTTTCCCTTTTCTTCTTATCTACGTAGTCTATTCGGTTAGAGATTCTGTCCAGAATTCTTAAATTCTCAGTCTGGTTCGGAAATAGGTACTGTCTTTTCTAAGGACCTTTTGGCTATATCCTTTCTTTGAGCACCCCAAATCCCCCTCCTATCTCAGCTGCTGTGGAAAGAAGCAGTGGTGGTTGCAGCTGTTATTGGACGGTCAAGACATCATTGGTCAACCTGATATAGTCATTTTGCAGTAGTTGTTCAAGGAAAAATATATTCAGGATCTCCTAGCCTCCCCTCTCTGTGATTCCCCTTACCTAGTTGAATTTCTTGGGCCACTCAATAGCTTCTGGGTTAATGGTGAACTTTATGCTAGCAGACGTCTCTCTCCTTATATTTCCAATTTTCACAAGGTCACGAGACTTATTGGGAGACATCACCCAGTTTATAATATCGAAGTCTCCTGGCAGCTCCCAGTTCTCATCCAAGCACAGCCTGCCTCTGGAAGTATTCAGACACTGGATTTCTCTCAAGAAAGGGTGAAGCTGGAATGGCAGGGGAAAGCACCAGCACTGAGAAAGCTTGAAGCCAAGATGGATATCTCAGTCCTACTCACTTCAACCTCTTCTGATTTGGGGCCTGCGTGTATCTCATGTAGACTGGAATTCCTATTCAGCCATTTCTATTACCACAGACCCTGCAAGTGCCCCAGTTTTCCAGGGACATCCCTGAATTAGAGACAGTTTTTCATTTGATCCTGGAATTTCCCACTTTTCCTTAGAATGTACCTATTTTCATTTGAGAAATGTTGGCGGATGTGGAATTATCCAACCCACAAGCTGTCCAATCCTATATTGGGAATTTTTAAATGTTTAATATTTTAGTATGAATTTCTTTATTTAGGGAGCTGCCCAGAGTGAGGAGGCAACTGAAGAAGATGTATAAACAGTGCTATTTCTCTAGAAAAGAAGGTGCCGGAACTCACCATGAACACCTCCCTCTGAGAATGGCAATGGCACCCACCTGAAAGGTGTCAAAACTGAGTTCCAGTGAGTTCCCCTCTGAAAAAAAGCCCTGGGTATAGGCAGTAAAGGACGCAGGTGGCGCTGTGGGTTAAACCACAGAGCCTAGGACTTGCTGATCAGAAGGTCGGCGGTTCGAATCCCCGCGACGGGGTGAGCTCCCGTTGCTCGGTCCCTGCTCCTGCCAACCTAGCAGTTCGAAAGCACGTCAAAGTGCAAGTAGATAAATAGGTACCGCTCTGTTGGGAAGGTAAATGGTGTTTCCGTGTGCTGCTCTGGTTCGCCAGAAGCGGCTTAGTCATGCTGGCCACATGACCCGGAAGCTGTACTCCGGCTCCCTCGGCCAATAAAGCGAGATGAGCGTTGCAACCCCAGAGTCGGCCACGACTGGACCTAACGGTCAGGGGTCCCTTTACCTTTATAAGCAGTAACATTATCATTATGGAATGGGCCGTCTCTATTTTCAACAGAGTTGAATACCAAAGTTGGGTGGTATGCTACTATTGCTAATACTAATAGTAACTATGATATTTTACAGGTCTATCCCCAGTCAAGATCAGCATCTGTGTGGACTGCAGTTTGCAAAAAGGGGGAAGGAAATACCTGCCACGGCTGTAGCCTTTGGGGTCCCCATTGCTCTCCTTCCTCCACCATCAGCCTCCTCTGGGATCTTGATGAAAGCGAAACATGCAAGGCCTGAGCCACAGCGTGAACATTGATGTAAGTGCCATAGCTGTCTAGAAACAGGACTCTCTCAGGCTCCCATTGGGATAATGGCTCCAGTTTCTCCTCCTCTTTGCATCTTTTCCTGCCTTTCACGGACAACAAATGCTTTGAATATGAACACTGAAACGCTTCATCCAAAGAATCCACAAGATTGGACGGCGATTTATAGTTGTCACCTTTGCTGCTCCTTATTCCGGTCTGAATTGCAAAGGATAGAGAACCATGGAGGTACTGGAAGTCATTTGGAGGGATGTAATAGCCAGTTCCGATTTCTAGCAAAGCTGTTGTGATCCAGACTTTTGCCCCTATTTCCTTCTCATATACTGTGTTTATTACCAGGAGTAGAATGATGCCCATTGCATTGGTTACATAGTAAAAAAATACCCCAACTTGTCTCCATAGGAAAAAAGGTTCCCCAGGCCTGATAAATTGATATAGATCATTTTCTGGTACTCTTTTTGAGAAAGCAATGCAGATCCCATTGCTGAGCATCAGAGGTTTCACAGCGCTCTCAAATCTTTCTCCACTGTCATTGTCTGGAGTGCAGAGGCCAATCCACGTCCATCCAAAATACAGGAGCAATTCAACAATCCCCTGGTACTGACTTTCCTCTTTGGGAGTCATCCGGTAGACAAAAGGGAACAGGGTTTTACCTTCGAGAACCTGGGCAGTGAAGCCATAACTGATCTAGCAAGGAAAACAAAAGATCAGCAATTTATTTTACTTTCAGAATAACAGATATTTAATTATCTGAAATGACTGATATCTATCTAAATCTCTGCTGGCTGAGGCTGATGGGAGTTTTAGTCTGAAACACCTGGAGGTGTCAAGTTGGTGAAGGCTCAGTTTTGAAAAAGGGATGTTGGGTCCATAGCTCAGGATTTCCCCATTTTTAAAAAATATCCCTGCTTGACCTATCCAAAGAGAAAGTAGTATTTTACGCAGCTGAAATTCTCTTTCCCTCCATGCTCTCCCAACACTTACCTGTGGGATTTTGTAGATGCCTGACAAGGCTGAAATCACTCTTGAGATGAAAGTGTTGCTTCTTTCAAGAACAGCCAGCAGGCGATTCTGTTCTCCACAGTGATAATTGGGAATATTGCATCCACTGCCTGCAAGCAGCTCTAGCATGGCGTCCGAAGTCATCCTTGCATCTAAATAGTTCTCATAGAGGTTGTAGCCCAGGGTGATGTTGGGTAAGAGCCTGAGATCCTGGCTGATCTCTTGGATGGTGAGCGGGAAAGACAACAAGTACGAATAGAGCCTAGCTGACTCCCTGCAACAAATGAGTCCTTTAAAAAGAGTGAAACTGATATTCATATGATGGGGGAGGGGGGACATTATACGATCCAAAAAGATTAGTATTTATTGATTAATCCTATTTCATTTATATAAAACCATTTACAATCTAGTACAGAATAAAAATAAATAGAATAAAGACATGCTGGCCACATGACCCGGAAGCTGTACACCGGCTCCCTTGGCCAGGAAAACGAGATGAGCGCCGCAACCCCAGAGTCGGCCACGACTGGACCTAATGGTCAGGGGTCCCTTTACCTATAGAATACAAATTTGCAGATCTCTGCTCCATGACCGGAGCTTTGATGCAAATAGCACACAGAGCTGTTCAACAGTGGAACAGACTCCCTCCGAAGGTGACCATGTGTCATGGATGCTTCAGGTGAGATTCCTCTGGGTTCCTTCCATCTCTGCAATCTATGATTCTATTCTACTGTGTTCTATGAGTAAGAAATGAAGGCGCCCTTCAAAATGTGTGCTATACTGGGAAGTTGCTGGAAAGCCTGCTTTTCCTGCATTGGTCTTTGACTTCTTCCAATGGGCTAGACTATAGGTAGATAAGAGACAATTTTATTGAAGGAGGGGAAGCACCAAATACTTCAGTCCCCTTTTAGTTACAAATGAGGCCTGGTGGCTTTCAGGTTTGAGTGTGTGGTAAAATTTATAATTTGTCCATATTTTGACTCCACCAATGAGGACACCCCCTGGTCTGTATTATTTTATATAATCATTTTATTTGAAGCATATCATTCCTGCTCTTCTCCCATAAAACTCCACCTATTTTCAAGAGAGGTTTTTTCTTACTTAGATGTAGGTGTCCTGTTGTGTTGTATAAAGAGAACTGTGATCCAAACATAAAATTATTAATCTCAGTTGCTTGGAAATTGCTTGAGTTTCATGTCACCCTCTGGGTTAGGAAACAGGTACCTTCTTTGTCAACCATTGCAATCGTTAGAAATGAGACCAGTTGTGCGTGTGTGTGAAGAAAAGGAATAATTCCTTTTCACATTTTGGACTCCACTAACAAGGAAGTCTCCTGACTCATATTATTTTATTTATCATTTCAGTTAAAGCACATATTTCCTGCTCTTCAGCCACCAAACGTTAACCTGTAGGATTTAAAAAATCCATTTTTAAAACCATAGCATTCTTTAACGACAGTTTGTTGATGTTCATTTATAATATTATATCATTATAAGGATATAATAGAAGAATACAAGAATGCCAATGAATCTGGTCAGGGTTCAAAAGTTTGCACTGAATTTCCCCACCTGCAGGAAGCCATGAAACTCAGACAATTTCCAGAGCTCAAAGGTTGAATTGCCTGAGTTTCATGGCATCCTGCAGGTGGGGAAACTCAGTGCATCCATAGGTAGGAGAGTGTTTCACTAAGGAAGACCCAGGGAACAAGGAAATGGGAGAGGTTTGGGTGGAATCTTTTAGTGGACCCCCCAGCTCCCATCAGCCCAGCCAGCAAGACCAATGGTCAGGGCACGGGTAGACCTGCAACATGAGGACAGCCTTGGCTCCCTAGCCGTGAGAAAGGGGCTCTTTCCTTGATAAATAGGAACCATTACAAGGAATGGAGGACCATGAAACCCACCCACATATGATTTTATATACCTCTCAGTCCTGGCGAAGGGTGTCTGAGAAAAGACGTATGGAGTTTCCTTATAAAAGCGTTTTGGAGATATGATCCCACTGATGAGAAAGTGTCCAGGCCGGTAGTAATTGCGAGCATCCGTTTCATCCCTGACCAGATTCAAGGGGCATTTCGCCTTCTCCTTCCAGCAGACTCCAAAGGGCATCATGAGCAGCAGACAGCAACAGAAGGAGCAGGGATCTCATTCTGGCTCTGCCTCCTCCTCCTCTTACCTGCCAAGGAGCTAAAGCAGAAGAACACAAAGACTCTTGCAAGGCCAGACTGGATGGGCTTTCCCAATCTGGGTGGTTTTCAACTCTACCTTCGGAGCTAGGAAGCACAAGGCAGGCACACCCCTCTTTCGCCAGCTCTGCATCTTCACTCAGTCTGTCTCCAACACAGGAAAAATTCTCTGCACCAACTTTTTCTTTCCCAGTCACAGTTCAATTAATATTGCCATGCTGTTGTTGCTTTCCGAGGCTCATGCAATTTTCCAAAATATCTCCTGAGCTTTCAGAAGATGAGATTACTATAATTTTGATTATTCCAAGTGGAATAAGTTTACTCACTAAAACTTTCTGGAGTCTTGAATGGCTCAAGCGGCAGGTGCAGAGCTGGAGAAAAACATGCTTGATTCTAGCCGATCCCTTCTGATGAAACTGGTGGAATATGATGAAATGTCTAAACTCAGAGGACAAAATGATGGATGGTTTTTTTACGATTTTTATTTACTCATTAAGAAATACACAAATCAAACATATTGTTTTGTAATGAAAGAAACACTTTACACAAAAAGAAAATAGAAAAGAAAGGGGGGAAAGAAGAGAAAGAATATCGAGAAATAGAAAAAATAGAAAGAAAGTTAAATGAAGAATTTTATCAAAGACATACAGTTTTTTAAGAAATACAAACCATCAACGACATTATTATAAACATATATTTCGCGGGGGTCGGGTCCTCGAACCACAAGTTCTTTTAAGAAGGGAAACAGGTAAATGGAGAAGAGGAAACAGAGTTCTGTGGCTCAAACCTCAGCTGTACTGAACTCAATTTAAAGCACAAGATATTCTGGTCACCCCAATGGTCAGCGGGGGGTTGAAAGGACCCTGATGAGGGGTCAAGGCTGCATTCCAGAGATCATGTTCTGCAGCTAAAGAGAACTGACCGCATTAAGGGAATGGGGAGATGGCAGGCAACTGGGGATCTTGGCTGCTGGAAACGGCAACTGGGATCTCTCAGGATTCCCTGCCAGACAGATTCCTCTCCAACCTTCTATATGATGTGATGTAGAGCTGTGATGATTTCCTGAATGATTCATTGGGGGCCACAACTGCAAATCTTGGGGTAGATCAGGGTTCCCCAAACTTGGGTCCCCAGCTGTCTTTGGACTACAGCTCCCATCATCCTGAGCTGGCAAGACCAGTTGTCAGGGATCACCACCATGCTTTAGAGATCGCGTTGAGTGAATTACATACACACAAATACTCCTAACTCTTTGTTGTACCTTCTTGTCTTTCTGGTTAGGCCGTACCTCGTTCCAGGTGTACAGAAAGATGTCGACCTGGATATGCCAAGGTGGTTCTAGAAGGAAAGCCCATTTGCTGCTATGCTTGTGCTCGGTGTGCGGAAGGGACCTTCTCCGCTCGGGAAGGTGGGTGATTCCAAGGGGGAAGAATTCCTGGAGAGAGTAAACACAGGACAGAAATTCAGTCTCACACACTTTTTGTGAGAATTCTGCAGACATAGGGGAATGGGGATCCTTCCTCGACTTCCTTAGTATTAATCACCTTTATTACATCCAGGAAGTGAGTTGATAGGAATGACCATAAGGAAGAAATATCTGGGGTGCAAACTGGGCAGCTGTGAGAGGAATGCCCGCAAAGCATTCCTTTTTGATTTTGTAGACCAAGCCACACAAAAAGGAAATAATGTTGACACTTATCAAAAATAATGGATAGACGATGAAAAGCAGCAAATTACTAACAGCAAAAGCACAATAAAAATAAATACTTCATGTGAAAATTATTACAATATAATCTATGGACCGTTTTGATCTCACTGCTATGAACATTGCATGGAAGCAATGTCTGCATTTTAAAGGTTCAGGCAAAGAGGAATAGGCAGGATCCAAACAATGCAGTTAACAGAAGTGGAGTGGTCACTGCCTCTCAGTTGATCCTAGATCACCATGTTAATAGAGCACAGATCATTAGGGATGTAAGTGATGCTACAGCTATTCTTTTTCTCTTCCCCAGATGCAGAACATTGCACCAAATGCTCAGAAGATCACCATTCAAACAAGGACAGAGATCAATGTGTCCCCAAGATTACCACCTTCCTGACTTATGGAGAATATCTGGGAATTGTTTTAGCTTCCGTTGCCCTCTTCTTGTCCTTAACAGCAGGCATTGTGTTGGGAATCTTCATTAAATACAAGGAAACTCCCATAGTCAAAGCCAACAACCGGGACCTCTCCTACATCCTGCTCGTCTCCCTCCTGCTTTCCTTTCTGTCC